GGTCTTGAATTCCTTAGGCTTCATTTGCTGAAGCCTCATTCAGCATATTCATTTATATTCTAGCAAACGCTGATCCCCAAGGGAGACAGTTTCTAGTATTTGGAAAATACAGTAATTATCTATTCATCAAGGACCAGTACACTCTTATCCAAAATTTTTTCACAGGATTTTCTAGAGCTACACATATCATCTGCGTGATATTTATAGTTAATATCTTAGCATTGATGAACATGGCTACAGCTGTTGACATTACAATTCTATAAAAAGTGGAAGGCACATCCCTTACTAAATCCGTTTATAATGTCTGTCATTAGAAATGGATGTCAATAAATGAGTAAAAGGATGTGGAATTTTTCATGATACAGTTTATGCTAGTTATTTGTTGTCTATTCATGGGATTACTAATTGCAGCTGGTAAAAGTTGATTTTCTCCTCTCTAATTTATTATGGAATTGGGCGTTCATTGCACCAAATTCATAGTTATTCAGCGTCTACATTTCAGAAACTGAATTGTTGGATAGTGTCAAAATGAGCTTTGGCAATCCCATGCAGGCGTGCACAACTATAATTTTGCTTCACATTAATAACAACCTAGCAAAAAAGCCCAGCAACAAATGTCTTGCTCTCAGCTGGAGGGCAGAAAGCCAGAGTGATATATCTTGGCTGGTGACCTATAATGTTGGAAAAGTAAGCTCTATATGCTCTCAGGATGGGTGGGCGGTATTCCGGAAATGTATTCCCATTCCTCCATGATTTTTTTTTGTAGTGTGTGCCCTGAGACAATAAGAAAGAATTACAGATAATAAATATAGCACATCTCCAGAACAAATGGGAAATGCAGCGCTTTTATTTCTTCGGATGTCAACTCTGTTCCCTGCCCCACGCCCTGCCCATGGTTTCTGCAGCACCTCGGTGATTCTAACCAGCGCTCGGGTGGGCAGCGGTCCGGGGGCCAGTCACCCACACGGATTGAACTTGACGCTGCGCGCCGGGACTTTTGGTCTTGCTCAAAGCCGCGAATCTCTGAGAGCTCTGAGGCTACGGCTTCATTTGGGTGGAGTGAGGTGTTATTGTGGGATATTCTCTGCAGAGTTGGCCTGGAGAGTGAGCGCCCGAGAAAGGGAGCTGAGCAAGGCTTTGCCAAGTGTCCGAGGAGTCGCAAGGCGCCCGGGAGCGGTACGATGGAGGGCTCTGGCACCAAGGGCGGTGCGCGCTTGCTGGCGGGGAGCCGGGAGGCGGTATGGAGGGGCAGGGGGCAACGTGCCAGTTTTCTCTCTGATTAATGATGCTCACGCTGCCGTGCGTGGTTCATGCGCTTTGTCTCTAGCCTTGGGGCTGGCGGAGAACAGCCAGGAGGATGCATGGCACCGCGCGCGCCGGGCACACCCGGCGGGTCCCGGCGCTCCGACTCGGCCAACTCTGGCCTCGCCCCGTGGCAGAGAGGCCCCGGTACCCGTAAGCGCTCAGCCGCGGCCATCTCCCGGGTGTGGCCGGTCAGGGGACTGGAGTCTGCAGCCGGACCAGCTGCGGGGCCACATGCTACATGCGCGTTGCCTCGGGCCGGGACAGAGACCGGACGCAGCCAGGGCTGCAGAGAGGAGCCAGGCACCGCCCCCAGCAACAGTGCCAACCGCGTGGGAGGGCAGAGTCGGGTGGAGGGTCAGACAACGGAGGCGCGGAGTCAAGAGACGCGGAACCGGGGGACGGACCGAGGCTGGCCGGCCCTGGGTGGGACTGACAGGCTGACTCAGCCACGGACAGGGGGAAGCAGCCGGACAGCTCGAGACGGGGAAGCGAGCAAGAGGAGAGGGCGAGGCAGGGGAAGGAAGAGAGAGAAGAGAAAAGAAGGGGGGGGGGGGGGAGGGAGAGAGGGGGAGAGAGAGAGAAGCGTGCTCTTTCCACTCCAGACGCCCTCCTCTGTCCGAGCAAAGCGGCTGAGGGCACTGCATGGGAGAGGGAGAGAGATGCGGGCACAGAAGACTGCAAAAGGGACCCCGTATTGCTAGTGGGACCGAGAGATGAGGAGAGACAGACAGACCGACTCACACACGGACTGACAGCGAGAGTGGCAGCTCCCAGAGCAGAGCGCAGGAAAGCCACAATCCCGCGCTGAGCTGCCAGGCTGAGAGACAGACGGTCAGACAGACAGACGTGCAGGGGAACAGACAGAAGGAGCAGACAGGAGGCGGGAGTTCGTTCGTTCCCTGCAGCCAGCCGGGCAAAGAAGGCTGCGGCGGCGCCCCCGGAGAGCGTCCGGAGCAGCGATAAGCAGCAGGGGCAGCGGGGTCGCTCGCTGAAGCCACCAGCGTCGCCGCAGTGGCGGCCGCCACAGCCTTGCAAGGATCCCAGCCGACAATGCAGAAAGCTCGTTTTGAACTAGCAGTTAAATAAATCGACCCCCCTAAAAAAAAGCCAAGCTAAATCAAACAAATCCAGCCAAATCAATCACTGAGAAACAATATTAATAAAAATTAAATTAAATCAATCAAGGCACCAAGACGCTGGGGGGATATCCACTGTTCGGTCAAGGTAATAATCAAGGTCTTCCGACGTGAACATTGCACGCCTTTTGTGATTTTCTTTTTTTCCTCCTTTTTGCCATATATCTGTGCTTTTCTTTCTAATTGTTTCTAGTCTGTATTTCTCCTTTGTGTTTGTAGAAAGCTATTGTTATATTTGTATTGTGTCTTTATGTTTCGTCAAAGGAGGGGTAGACTCCCCCTCCTCCAAATGAGGCAGACATGGGAAGCTGGAAGAGAATTGAAAAAGGCAGTTCTCTCCATCTGGGAAGTCTACAGAGATTTATGCAGGTATCAAGGTAGCAAGTTCCAAAGGCTCTATTTCATTTGAAAGAGAGCTCTCCAAGGGGCAAAAAGTTGTAATCTGTTTGTTTTACTGGCAGGACTTGGGGTCCTGGCTCCCAAGGGGTGTAGGGAGAAAAGAGATACTCCCATTTTATTTTCACATGTTGGAAATCTGTGTTTCGTGGCAAACTCCAAGTTTAATGCCTTCTGTGGCAGGTTGTAGATATAGTGGTAGAATTGAGTTGAATTAGACAGGTGTTTGAAAGTTTCTTAGGAGGAGAAATTGACTCACTCCATGTTTATGCATAGAAACAGAGCTGGAGTGAATGTGGTTGCTGTGGGCTGTGCAGGCTCAGTACTTGATCACCCCCTGAAGATACAGGGTAAGGACAGAGTCCTAGCCTAAAAGGAAAAACAAAACTGGAATTGAAAGTTAGAGGGATGGGAAACTACTTAGTACAATGCAAGGCTGGTAGAAATCACTTTCATGAGAATGTGTTGAAGTGCAGATACCCACTTGATTTCTGATTTTTTAAGCCTATGGGTATGACACTTCAGCCTCTCTCCACCAGAATGACGTTCCCCAAAGTTGAACTGAATCTGTACAAGAATTCACTCCAATGCTGACTAAAATCAGATGATTCCTACCTCCTCCTCATTCACTTTGGAGATCAAAATTGCTATGATTGTTTTAAGAAAACAGAGAAATGGAGATGACAGGAATTTTTTTTTTGGTAAAAGTTAGAAAACCTTTGACACACACTGTAAAATAAATGCACCTACTCCTTTGATCCTCTGTGCTTGTGTCACCACAGGGTTTGCATGTCTGAATAGGATTTTAGTTAATGTCATTTTCACAAAAGGCAGTCATTTGGAAGCCGAGAGTTGTAGCTATGTTTTGTTCAAATAGCCGAGTAATGTACTATCTCATCAGTAATTGCTTCTGCTGCTCTCCTAATGTGGATCCCATGTGAGAAATTATGTATGCACTCTTTTCAGGTTTATATGGAGTTTTAAGGTATGTATTTGTGTTCGATCCTGTATTTCCTTTTACATCGTGCTCTTTTTTATCACTTCAACTAACAATATTTTAAAATTTTCTACAGTTTAGTATATTCTTTTGGGAGTACACTTCCTTCTTGCAAAAGATACAAAATAGGCTAACCTATTACTATCCTTACTCATCAATGCTGTAATTTGTTTCAAAACAATTTGGGTCAAGTGCAATTTCTAAGGCATTTAGACTGCTATGCATACGTGTCTCACTGTACCCTGTCTGGACATGATTTATGTTATTTGATGAATAATATAACCAAGTTGCTGTAGATGAACGCCTGTTTGACAGAACACTTGGTTTTGGTGAGTCATATTTAAAGAAACTTATACAGCTCCAGAAATTGACAGCTTCTCAGTGACTTAATTTCACTACGTGCTGATTTATTTTGCAGTGTTCATCTCGGACCTAGACAGGTTTGTGTGTGCTGTTAGATTTGCAAATTGCTGATCTCCCAGTGACTTTCGCTCTGAGATCCCAGCTGAGTATAGTTACCTCGAGAACCATGGGTTAGCCCTGTTAGAGCATGCTCCACTGGGGAGCTCAGTGCAGTCTATTTTTAATGCTATTTAATGAAGGAGCAAGCACCTCACTCAGCAATAAACGAAGCATGATGGAAGACAGAGCAGTGCATGGTTATGGATACTGGAGAAGGATATTTGGAAAGGTACAGACTGGCTGCTGGATATGGTAATTTTAATGAGTTCTAATATATGGTACTAAGAGAAGTCAATTGATTTCCAGGAGAGATTTACACAGGGAGAGTTGGATATGTTTTCATAAATCTCTTCAGTAATACTTAGAAAGAAGACTCAGTAATTGGAGTGCCTTGAAACTTAAGGGAGATACTCACCAGGGAGTTCCTACATAAATACAGTTTTTAAGACAAACTGTCAGGTTCTTGGGTGGTAAGAAGTGCAGAAATGACTTCAGATTTTTATAGTATTGTTCTGGTGAAGGGTTTGGGACATGTGAATATTCTGGGCATAAAATAACTAACATCCTTCTAAGGTATTATAATTTGAAGCTCTGCCTTGTGATTTTTTTTTTCTCTTCGTTTTCTTTTATAAACGTGGAGTCTAGGTCCAGAATTGTGGCAACTAAGTGAAGCAGGAAGTTTTGATTGAACTCAATAGAATATTTGAGCCGTTTCTCTTCTTGCTTCAGATAAACATGATAGATTATCTTACTGAAGGTTAAATACTTTTAAAATGTACATAGAAGAGGCAGCACTGATCATTTTTGGAACGTAACAACGAGGGGGGAAATGTCTTAATATTATAGTACGTAAAACATAAGAAGCCATCTGTCTGCAGTGTTTGCATATATGCAGACCACTTGCCTTCCTGTAGAACATGAGAATGGCCAGTTAGAAAGCTCTCTGTTGTTCAGTTTCATATTAACAACCTACTATAATCAGGTTATGTCTTTGTTTAGAGTGCAGCTGATGAGGCAAATGCTTAAGTAGTTTCAAAATTAATAAACATAAGAGAAAGTGAGAAGTTTTTATTAAGTGGGAAAGTGAGTCGTATAATTATTGTTACATAGGGCTGTTAGAGCAATGTACAAAGTTGTTCCGGATTTTGCCAGTTTTTATCCAAAACATTAAAAACTACTAAGGGAAATACATTGCAAGGAGTTACTGTTATTTGTTGTTATTGTTTGTGTTTTCTACTTTGTACATCTAGAGGGAAAAGTAATCCACACTGGCTGTAATATTTCCCTTAGTGGTCATCTACCTTTCTCAAGATTCTCAAGTCAGTAGTCATTCTCATCTGAATTCAATGTGTATTTTGTCCATGGACAAGATAATTATAAGCTACATGAGTAGAGTGTGGAATGAGTCAGCCACTGAAGACAACAATGCACAACGTAGCCAGAAATGAATCTGATTGAATTCTCATTAGTATGGGGAGACAGTTTGAAGCCCATAAGTTTGGAAATTGCAAATGAACCATTCCTATATAAGCTAGTTTAATGCTGATCTGCTTTGTGACAAGATCAGGAAAGAATATGGGGCTTAAAAATGATGTCGACACTGAAAGCCATTTCTTCAAATGGTAAGTACTGGCATCATTCTAACTGGTACCACAGGGTTGTAGCATGTTTAGAAATAGGTGACTCTCTAATCAGAAAAAGAATTGGCTTCCTTAAAAATGCATTATCTCACCTGGAAAGTCCTGAACATATTTCAAGTTAGTGATGATGAACTTATAAAATATGTACTTCTTCTCTTTAGACAAAGGATCTTTATTTTTTAGGAAATCTGTGGTTTCCTGGGCTCTGTATTTCTGCTGACTTTGCTTTCTTTTATTTTTCATTCTAATATTTAAAGTTAAATATGATAAATGATTTCCTGCAGAGATATAAATAAGTGATGAAGAACTACTGAAGGTAAAAAAGAATATTAGCGAGATATACTCATATATGTGACTGGATTTGTTTTTCTCAGGCTGGCTTTGCTTCTGAATGTTGGTTTCCTTTAAGGTGTATTTATGCCAAGTTCTAATAAATTGATATTGTTCAGTGACTCGGAGTCTTATAATTTAAATTAATTTTGCTCATTCTGGATTAAACTTGGCCCTGGATGTTTAAAGCATTTATTACATAAATTTACATCATAACCATTTTATTTCTGTGAGAATTAAGTATGAGCTGAGATATGAAGTATGAAATTGTATGTAATATGCTTGGTAAGGAACAAAGTGCTTGAGACAGAGTATGAAGTTCATTCAGCAATTTTAAATGTTTGGTAGCACTGTTATCTGTGGTCTCAAAATCCTCTATATTCTGGTGACGTTTTCTTAAGGCACAAAATGCCCATATAACATTTTCAATGTACCTTTCCCTAAAATTACTGGGACATATCTGTGCCCTGGGCAATAGTTATTCAGGTAAACCAAAAAGTGAATTGAAATAATTATTTTGGACAATTGAAGGGATATTGAAAAACAAAAGGATTGACTAAAATATACCAAACTGACTCTACTTTCAAATTGAATCCTTGGTATTATGTTATGCTTTTTTTATTCTAGCTGCCTGCATAGGTCTTAGCATCGCCAGGTAGAGTTTGCTAATCACTGTCCACGGCCACACTCAATCAATAGTTTAAATTCCCCTACATACTTTTCCCCAGGAAATTTCTTCTGGTTGTTCTTTATAACCCCCAGCTTAATATACATGTCAATGCTACAGGTTATATAAGATTTTTTATAAGTTCTATAGTCAAGTGATATCTATTAGCATAAAATCACAATTGTGACTTATTAAAATGCTAAAGATTTAGTCCAGAACTGTCTCATTCAAAGTACATATTCATAAGTATTCCTCAGCCATGAATTCATACCACTCTTTTCAAGTCCTCTACAATAGTTCCGTATATCTAGTAACAGAAAATAATTTTCTCCAGACACAGGGGACGGGGGCCCACTAATCATTATCCCTTTTAAAACCAGGCCTCTTACCACATTCTCACATTTCACACTACTTCAAAAGGATACAGCAGTTCGTACATTAAAAATCCATTGTGGATAACACACAAACCATTAAGATTTTATTAATAAAATTGCTTCTCTAAATAATAAGATTGGTTTTAAGATAAATAAAAATAAAATATGGTTTCAATTGACAGGAAGGATTCAAGATTTTTAACAGGAAAGCAATTACGTCACTTTTTATACCAAGCGTGGTGGCAAATTTTGTAGAGATTTATTTGGCCCTTTGTGGTTAACGTTTCTACGCAGAATTACATAACATAATATACAGCCTTTTTTCTACAGGTTTTTTTTTTTATTGTTGAGACATATTCACAAAGCTTATCTCCTTAGATAAACCAGTAATCAATCCCTGATTCTCACACAAGCTAGGAAATAAGACTTTGTAATAGGAACATCCACAAGAACTCAGAGACTTCTCAGCCAGATTAAGTGCTGGAATTCTTAATGAATATGCTTTCTTTTCCATTTGTATTATCGTAGGTCGCTTCTTTATTACACACTAAATACTTGAGATAAGAACGAGGATCATATATAGGGAAACGAAAACCAAGGAATGCTGCTAATATATTTAGCAGATTTTCTTCTAATGGCCAAGATACAATCCTTACTTTAGTACAATCTAGTCTATAGAATCATATCTTAAAGGGGAAAAAAATAATGCACGTTGACGTATTTTGATCTAGTCAACATTGAGAACCAACAATAATTGAGGTAAAATGTTTCAAGGTCTTCAGAGAACAAAGTGGAACCATCAATTTCTGAAAGTTTGCTGGCCCTACAAGTCCAAATATAATACCTCTCGACATGTAAATCCGAAGGTCCAGCTATTATCTAATTGTTTAGTAATTTGAGTTTCTTTCAGACGATCTCACCACTATTACAGAGATCTAGAAGAATCAAGCCATGGGTCAACAGAGAGTGAAGGAAGGGCATGAAACTCACTGAAATTCAGGGGCTAAACCTAATTGTTTAACTTGTATTTGCTCATAAACTCAATGAAAAAATAAAAAGCTATCAAATTGCTTTTACAGCTTTTATAAAAAGTTATATAAAAATGTTTCTAAAACCACAATGTAAATCCTCATGGGAAGTTTCCAATATTTTCTGATAAAAAAAAAAATCTGTCCTCTGCATTGACATGTTTTTCTTAGCACCTTGCAGATTAATATGTACGTAACTTTAGTAGAAATTCCAGCATTGCTGGCACCTGCCTTAATTTAATCATTAAAAAGCTGTTGGACAGAAAATAAGTAAGTAGATTCCATATGACTGTGTGTCAGAAGCAAGATTTCGGCAGCATATGCAAGCTTTAAATACTCATAAGGTGCTTCTTTAAAACACGTTTTTTGTTTTGTTTTGTTTTTAAATGAGAGTGTTAAAAACCCATTTGATTGGAAATACAGCACTTCAGTTTTTGGAGAAAGAAGATGAATGTTTATAGTCGAATGATGACTTTTTAGGCCATTGTAGCACATCATTGGGTTAAAATTACTATTGAATTCTGTCAAATTAATTAATTGTCAAGACTTTGTAGTCATATCTATGATCTCATTTATTTTATCTGGCTTATAAGAATGATCTAGCTAACACTTTTAAATTACATAGTTTTATATTTGTTTATTTTAAATTTTATTAGATATGCTGGTATTGTAAGAATTTTAGGAAATTATCCAACATCTGTCATAGTACTAAAGATGAATTCAAAAGACCCATTGCAAACAATGAGTTGGTATTAATGATTCTTCAGTTTTTCCACTCCAGTGCTGCTTTAACTTTGGTCACAGCACATATTTCCTTTGTGAAGATTAAAATCTTACTCCACCCCTGGAATTTCCATATAATCACTGACAGAATTCTGGAAGAATTAAATAATATAGCATGCAATCATATCATGTGTTACATGCTGTTGCTATCTGCTTAAGCACAATTAAGCACTCTAACAACTGGATGCTTTAATATAATCATTGTTCTCCTCTGGAACTATGGATGACTTAGTTTTCAGTGGTTTTGAATTCTTTTTCCAGCGTCAAGAGGTGAGAGAGCATACCTAGTTACGTGTGAGAGAGTTTATACATTAAATATATATATATATATATATATATACATATTTTAGGAAAAGAAGATAAATATCCCTTTAAGAAGGATATTATTTTGTCACACAGATGATCGTAATGTCTGCATTATTGGTCAGATAAGATGAGGGAAGCTGTAGACAGAGAGATGCTTTGAACTTAGTGGAGCTTCTGATCAAAAGTCAGGTTCATGGCAGGATGGCTCAGCTACCAAAAAAAAAAAAAAAAGTAGGTTCAAAGTAACAGAGGGATGGTATACCAAAAGTATGCCAGGAGCTCATCTGAGTGGGAGCAGGTAACTATTGTTTGCAATGAAGGAAGGACTCACCGCAGAGATATGTGGTCCTCCATGGAATTCTACAGGTCAAAAAAAAAAAAAAGTGCAAAATTTGGATTAAAAGAAAACATCTGGGAACACAAGACCTAAATATGGTGGTGTATCCAAATCTCACTTCTCCAAAACTTACCTCCATAAATATGCAATTTACCACCCGAACTGCTGTTTCCTTGTGTTTGGCTTCTGAGCCTGAATAAATAACTATATATGTGTGACTGTGGCCAAGACTCTTAAGGCTCTCTGTGTTTCATAGTTTCTGCAGGTTAAATCGTGTCGTAACACTATTCCAATCTAAAGAAATCACTGGTGACTTTAGCAATTTTGTTAATTTCTCATCACTTCAATTTTCTCATTTATGAAGGAGGGTAAGGCCTACCTTGAAGGGTTGAAGCAGAAACAAAGTACCTGGCATGTAGGTGTTATTCTTAAAAAGAAACCATCATCTTCTCATACGAAAACTTTAGAGAGATTTAAACCTGATTTTATATATATCAATGAGACAAATCCCCCTTTAAAATTTTTTCTTTTCTTTTAGTAATTGTCAAGTTCTTTTGTTTCCACCCTATGAAAATCCGAATGGTTAAAATTGGAGACTAGCTTTACTTTTTCGGTGCCTATGAAATATCAAGGACCAAGCCAAGGCAGTAGCAAGTGCAGGAGGTGTCTATTACATAAGAATAACGACGTTTACTAAGGCCGTTACCTTCTGTCAGTCTCCCAGGGAAGGGGTGGCCCAGTTCAGATTTGTTTAAAAAAGGAACATATAGGTATGTCTTCTCCAAAGCGTTTTAATTGTGTAATTTCTACCATCTAAAAGACGTGGCTGAAGGAACGGATCATTGACTAGAATGGGGTTGGAATGGATCCATGGACACTGGGTGAGAGCCAGTGAGCAGTAGCTTTGGAGTGGATGGGAGATGGAAACAGTTTTCAACTTCCTCTGAGACCTGAAAGCAAGCAGAGCTTTGGGCTTGCTGATGGGCTTTCTGGCACTCCCACAGAAGGCTCGCGTTTCCTGTCTCTAAGCCCTGAGTGAGCTGTTTGGATGGGGCAGCTGATCTGGCCTCTGATCCTCCAGTGTCTGCATTTTTGTTGAACTGCACCTGTGTGAAAATGACCACAGGATGGGGCAACTGCTCTCACAATTGGGGTTC